GATGTCAGTTATGGTCTCTTTGGGGTATATTCCCAGTACTGGAATTGCTGGGTCAAATGGTATCTCTATTTGCAACTTTTTGAGAAAGCACCATATCGCCTTCCACAGTGGTTGCACCATTTTACACTCCCTCCAACAGTGAATATGGGTTTCACTTTCTCTACAACCTCGCCAGCATTTGTTGATTGCTGTTCTGTTAAATTTTGCTATTCTGACTGGGGTGAGATGAGATGATATCTCATAGTTGTTTTGATTTGCGTCTCTCTTATAGCTAGGGATTTTGGACATTTCCACATGTGCTTGTTGGCCATCTGAATGTCTTCTTCAGTGAAGTGTCTGTTCATATCCTGTGACCATTTTCAATTGGATTATTTACCTTTATCTTGTGGTGAAACGTGGTAACTTTTAATAAAGTGCTTTTTAAAAAAGAACCATTCTTTGTTCCCCCCTTTGTATACCATTGACTCGGATCCAACTGGCACAGGAGGAGATTGCCCCTCCTTCTCCAGCGGAGCATCTGGTGCATTTGAACCATGCTTCTTCGAGATTGCAGCGCAGTTTCTTGCCATTAGGCCACCAGAGTTCCCTTAGCAGTACTGTTCTAGTGTGTGTGTGTGTGTGTGTACCATCAGATTGGATCTGACTGGTACAGGAGGAGATTGCTCCTCCTTCTCCACCAGAGCATCTGGTGGATTTGAACCACATACCTCTGCGATTGGCACAGGATAGAGCAGGGTTTAGGGCTGTTGTACATAGGGTTGCTATGAGTCGCAAGCGACTTGATGGCACATAACAATAACAACCTCTAGGATTGCAATGCAGCTTCTTGCCACTAGGCCACCAGAGCTCCCTAGCAGTACTATTCTTAATAGTCAAAATGTGAAAATACCTCACATGTTTGCCAACGTATGGATAGACAAAATGTGATTCTATAATGGAATATTATTCAGGCATAAAAAGGAATGAAATAATGTTTGCTAAATATGCGTATATTTTGAAAACATCCTAAGTGAAAAAAGCATAAAGAACACATTATATAATTTCTTATATCAAATATCCAAAATAGTCAACTTCAAAGAATAGAAAGTATTAGTGGTTTTCAGGGGCTGGAGGAAGGAGATAAAGGGGCAGGATAGGTGTTATTATTTCTTTTTTTATGTTTTCTTTTTGAAGTGATGAGAAATGTTCTATAATTAGATCATGAATATAAACTTCTTGATAAATAGGTGACTGGCAGATTAGATGATAGAATAGCTAATATTAAAACATTCAGAGAATCACTTTAAATTTTGTTTGGTATTCTACTTGTTACTATTGGCTGAGATTTTTTTATTGTACAGAAATTTGTTAAATAATAGGAAAAATCATAGAATTAGGGGCAAACAGGTTTTGAAGTACAGTGTAAAATGAACTTCAGTGCATAATGTTTTGTTAGAAATCTGTATATAGAAAATGATCAGTGTCGAAAAATCTTGTTTCTCTAGTAAATATGAGTGGTGTGAAAGGGAAATTTATAATGAATATAACTATGAGATATTTTACAGATTAGCTTCAGAATTTAAAGTGATTAGGTCAAAGATAAAGGGAATTAACATACATACCAGCAGTAAATGTTTGCCTAGCCATTTGTTAATTTTTGAAAATATTTTTAAAGATGGAGATGAAGATGATGAGGATGAAGAAGAAGATGAAGCTGGGCCACCTGAAGGATATGAAGAAGAGGAAGATGAGGATGAAGATGACGATGATGAGGAAGCAGGCTCAGAACTGGGAGAGGGAGAGGAGGAAGTAGGCCTCTCATACTTAATGAAGGAAGAGATCCAGGTGAATAGACACTTTTTATCTACACCTAAAAGTAATTTTTTAGGCATAGGGATACCTATCCGTGAAAAGAAAATCATGTGGAAATCTGTTAATTGTTTCTTAGGCTATGTATGTATCATCTGCCTTTCTTTTTCTCACTATTATGTACCCTGTGTTTTATCCAAATTGTAAATACTTTTGATTTTAACTCTTGAATTTTTTTTAAATCAAAATTAATTCTCTCCTCAGGAACATAGTGTGATGGAAATATTTTGCAGATAGTTCTTAACCTAAGTTTCTGTATTTATGAAATTATTTTTTATGAAAATAATTTCTGAAAATATTTATGAAAGGATTATTGTAAAGAATTAATAATAATTTGTATTACATTTAAATACATGTAAAGTATCTCAAGAAAACTTGCCTTTCCTTGAACTGCCTCTTGGTGATGCTTTTTTAATATATTGCTTTCTAAATAGTTTATTTGAATATATAGCAACTATCACTCCTTTGCTGTGTTGCCTGGGTGATCATATCATCAGCCAGCTTAAAATGCTTTAATGGTTTCCCTGTTACTAAGATCTTTGACTTGGCATACAGGGCTTTTTATTATATATTATAACTTCCTACCTCATCTCCCTCAGTACTAAATTAAGTTGTTGCCTATAATTGCAAACTGTTTCTCTTCTTTATGTCTGTATATATGTATTTTCCTTTTATCTCAACTGTTTGACACTTTTTTCTTCCATCGAGGTAAACATAAGCATGGTTAAGCTTGTATAGTATACTAACTTTATGTACTTCATTAATTTTCACATATATAGTATACTTGCATAATCACTGCCCAATCATACCTAAAAAACCACAACCATAGTGTCAGTTGCAACTCATGTCAACCTTTCATCTGTTCCTGAGGCTGTAAATCTTAACAGGGGAAGACTACTCTTTCTTTTCAGATCTGCTGGTGAATTTGAACTAAGTGCTATTTTGTTACTTTGTTTTTGATTTGTTCTACACCATCTGAGCAATCATGCCTGGTAAACTTCCTTTTATCTTTAAAAACTCAGAACTCCCTAGTGGCAGGAAGCTGCACTGCAATCCCAGAGGTAAAAACTCAGAACTGTAGAGTTGTGTCATTATTAAAGCTTTCTTTGATTTTTTTTTAGTCACTCAGACCTTTGAACCTTGATTAGGCTTCTGCCAGTGTGCTTCGTAGTAACTTGTTTGACCACTTGCTGCTATGTGGTAAGCTCCTCAAGGGCAATTTATTGTTATTAGGTGCAGTTGAGTCAACATAGCGACCCTTTGAACAACAGATATTAATATTTTTTATCTTGTCATCTAGTACACTGACTGACACATAATAGGTTCATGAGAAATGTCAATTGACTTTGTCAAATGATCATTATTATTAGCCCCTGTGAATTTAGAAAAGTCATTTTCCTAATTACTGAGTTTTTAGAATTCAGTATTTTCCCAGGTAAAAATATTATTTCTCATTTAGATTAGAAATTATTGTTTGTTCTCCTAATGACTTTCACATTGGTTGAATAGATAATATTCACTGATTAATCATAATTTTTTCTTGTTGTTGTATATTGTTGAGTTGGAACCAACCCATAGATGACCCTCAAGTGGACTTTCAGAGGCAGTAAATCTTCTGAGATGTAGCTGGTGAAGGATTTGAATAGTGTGCCTTTGAGATTGCAGCGCAGCTTTTTACCACCTACCCACAAAGAAAGAATGTACTTTCTTATAGAAGAAGTCATCTTTTTCAGTTTATATCATCATACAGTACAGCATGAATATTTTCACCTGAAGTTTTATTTATTTAGTAAATTAATGGATTCATGTTCCTTTGATTCATGGTCTTTTGGTTTTTTCCTGCCAATGATTCTCCCTTGAGTACTTAATTTTTAAAAATGACTTGTAGCTACCTTGAAATATTAGTTTTATCATTCCACTGAGTATTGAAACAGAGTAGCCAAAACTGACACTGTCAAATAGAGAACAAAAATTTCCAAGAATATATATAACATTAAGTCAGTGTAGGGGTATGGTAATAAAAATGAACTCTTGACTTTAGAAGCTAAGTATCAAAGGACACATCAGAGACTACTGATATGTAAAAAGAAATTAGAAGGAAATAAAAATCATCTGATTAGCTGATTTTGAGTCTTATGTTTTCCTATTCGAGCTTTTTATAGGCAAGGAATTAATTTATATTAGTGTAGAATATTTCATTAAAAATGAGATGGAGACTTCAGGAAAGTTAGGGAAATAGTGTGCAAAGGTCCCTGGGTAGCATAAATAGTTGCTACTTAAATAGTTGCTAGGTTCACTGGAGCAGTTTTACTTTGTACGACATAACTTATTTAGGTGGAACTGACTCATAGCTGACCTTCCAGCTGGTTTCCCAAGAGTGTAAATTGTACAGAATGAGATTGCCCATCTTTCTTCTGCAGAACTGCTGGTGGATTTGAACTACCAGAGAGGTGCCATCTTTGAGTTAATTGTGCAATTCAGGCTATACCACCAGAGTGCCCTTTGAAAGATAAAGGGTCATTATTAGTTAGAATAAACTTGATGACCATGAGTTTTGTAATCCAGTACAAATGAAACATTTTAGGGGAGCTCTGGTGGCCTAGTGGCAAGGAGCTGCAACTATAATCCCAGAGGCACAGGGTTCGAATCCACCAGATGCTCTGCCGGGAAAGGAGGGACACTCTCCTCCTGTAACAGTCAGATCTGATTTGATGGTACACGCACACAAAAATAAAAAAAAAAAAAAGAAACATTTTTATTTTCCACTAATAAAGAAAAGAGAACTCTACTGAGTAAGGCATTAGACTACCAACCCAAAGGCATTCAGTTCAAGTCCACCAGTGCTCAATGGAAGAACGAGTCCCCTTTTCTTGTGATTGATGCCCTGTGAAAACCCGCTGGAGTTAGTCAGCTGTTAGTCAGTTCCGACTCCACATCAGTGATTTTGAGTTTTTTGAAGGAAAGGAGTATAGTCTTTGCTAAGCACTCTGGTGAAATTGATGATTGCTTTCCAGAGGGTGACTAAGGGAGAAAAGGTCTAAAAATGTGAATGAATTAGTCTTTAATCATTTTGTTTAGAACAAAACTCAGAAAGAATTTGCTTTTTAGATCTAGGTTTTTCTAACTTTAAAAGAAATAAACATGATTATTATCTGAAATTTTAAGAAACATGTTTAAATATCCTCTTCATTCCTTTCAGATAGTAAAAGTCTAAAATACATTTCTCTTTTCCTCTCCATTACTTTTCTCTCTTCCTTTAATTCTGCTCTTTGCTGTGTTTTTTTTTTAAACTGTTTACAATCTCAATTATTCTTTTTGCTTCCGTACTTGCTGGTGTCTACTTATATTTAATATTATATTTTCCTTTTATTGATTGGAAAGGAGGAGGTCCAAAAGGATAAAGTAACTTTTTAACACATGACTACTAATTTGGAGTTAGAGTTTTGGTAATTTTTACTTTGACGTATAAAATAAAGGCCCTGGTTTAGAAATAGTCTGAAGTTACTCTGCCCAATATGATAGCCAATAGCTATATGTGAGTTTATGTTTACTAAGAAAAAAAAATCAGTTCTTTATTTTCATTGGTCATGTTTCAGATCTTCAGTCACTACATGTGACTGGTGGCTAAATGGACAGCACAGATAAAGAATATCCAAAGTTGTTTGGATAGTTTGGAAATACAATGTAAAATATAACTTATTTTCGTAAGAAATTAGGGATTTTATTCAGTTTTTCAAAAGGACTTGTATTAATTAGGTAGAGATTATCAGAACACAGATTAACTAAATTTCTTTATTCTTATTGGGGTATATTACCTCCCTCCAAAAAGTGAAAAATTTATGTCATACTTTATTTCTTTTCAAACCAATTATTTGAATTTTTTAAGGATGAAGAAGATGATGATGACTATGTTGAAGAAGGAGAGGAAGAAGAAGAAGAAGGTGAGTTATATTAGTTATTAAAAAATTCTAAAATTCGGGAGCTCTGGTGGCCTAGTGGCAAGAACCTGCACTGCAACCTCAGAGGTGTGTGGTTCAAAGCCACCAGATGCTCTGTTGGAGAAGGCGAGGCAATCTCCTCCTGTACCAGTCAGATCTGATTTGACAGTACATACACACAAAAAAAATGAAAAAAAAATCCTAAAATTAAAGTCATAGCTATTCGTAGACTTTATTGTTATGTGCTGTTGAGTCACCTGTGAGTCATAGTGACCCTATGTACAACAGTTCTGAAGCCTGCCCTATCCTGAGCCAGTCTCTCTAACTCCCTTGCCCTAGTTACTATATCAATCCATCTCATCCAGGGGTTTCCTTTCCTGGGCTTTCTTTCCACCCTTCAGAGCATGATGTCCTTCTCCAAGGACTGGTCCCTCCTGGCCACGTGCCCAAAGTATGTGAGATGGGGCTTCAAAATCCTTGCCTCCAAGGAGAAACTTGGTTTCACCCTCTCCAAAACAGACCTATTTGTTTTCTTGGTAGTCATTGGTATGTTCAAGACTGTTCTTCATCACTACATTTCAAATGCATTATGACTGAATCCATGTAACTTAAAAGTTGATATATTTATTTTAATGTGCCTAAAAAGATACACTTTTTAAAAAAAAATTTCCTCATTTAGTTATTGAATTCCATTTAAAAATCAAACTAATTACAAAAACAGGAATGAAAAGAGAGAGGGGCTTTAAGCTTTACTTATTATTTACTTTAGAGTTTCATGATGGAAAAGGTGAACTTTACCTGTAAGAGAGGAGCAGTTGAATTCTAGATAATGACCTGGTTTTACCTAGATCTTTCAAAATATTTCAGTTTCATTTAAAATTCTATTGATGTCAAGCCCTTATTTCTTGTTCTGTACTTCAGAATTTGGCCACAAGAGTGCATGGCAAACTATGAGTATTTAGATTTTTGAATCTGTTAAATTTGCTCAGTACATTGAAATTATAAGAAATTCAGAGAAGAA